ACATTGCTCTATCCTGGCCTAGATTACTCTAATTCTTGTTTTTCCAGACAGCTCGTACAGCGAATCTACACACAGGACTGATCCTTGAGCTCCTGGCTTCAGTCTGCTATAACAAGTCTTTGGACTAGGTCCAGGAGTTTAGTCTTGTCCAAATCAGGTCTGGTTAATGTATTTCTGGTGCTATTCAACTCGCCGAGACGCCACAGTGTTATAGAGGTCAGTGTGATTCTGGCCTGGTTCCTAATGGCCCTCTTTAAAGATGTTTAGACGCATGCTGTCTCTCAGGCTGCAAGTTTCCACTTCTGCCGCTCGTGAACGGTTACCGGAAACTACCAGAGAGCTTAGGCCAATGAAGTTGTCTGATCTGATTTAAGCGACACCTAGAAAACCCCCACCAACTCAGCTCTGACACGGGGACAGGTCACCTCTAACATGGGATTTTAAAATGTTTTGTAATTTAGCAGACACTCTTATCCAGAGCGACTTACAGTAGTGAGTGGATACATTTTGGTACTTTTTTCCCGTTATGGTCCCCCGTGGGAATTGAACCCACAACCTTGGCGTTGCAAGCGCCATACTCTACCAACTGAGCCACATGGGACCAGGTCAGCAGATGAGTCCTTGGGTCTGTTAACGCTGTGCCCCCTCTAAATGGAAGTCCTTGGGTCTGTTAACGCTGTGCCCCCTCTAAATGGAAGTCCTTGGGTCTGTTAATGCTGTGCCCCCTCTAAATGGAAGTCCTTGAGATAAGATGAGGACATTATTTAGAGTGGAGTTTCCTGGAGGTGCACTTGTAACTCAACCTGGCCCTGCTGGGGAGTTTGATAGGAGCAGAGATGAGAAGAGGTCACCTCAACTGGAGTGTTTTCTTAACCTGTTTGTGTCTTGTCTGTATTTTTAACTCTGTTGTTTGTCTTGGTGTGTTTCTTTAAGCTCAATGTGTTGACTCTCTCTCTCTCTCCGTAGTTCCTGCTGTACTGTGAAGGCACCCGCTTCACAGAGAAGAAGCACCAGATCAGCATGGAGGTGGCAGAGAGTAAAGGCCTGCCCAAGCTCAAATACCACCTACTGCCCAGAACCAAAGGCTTCACCACCGCACTCAAATGCCTCAAGGGCACAGGTGGAGCATGCATTCACGCACACACACCAGGGTTCTCCCCAAAGAATGGAAGACGGGCGCTGCGCCACCTTGTGGACTGGCTGAGCCACTATGTACATTTTAGTTTTTTAGTTAATTTTTTTAAGGCCAGGCACCACACCCTAATAGCTTTTTATTTTGCTCTAGATTGCAGAAAATGGCATTTACAGGCGTTCAAAAACGCCATACCACCTTCTTTTTTTTAAATCCAGGGCAGCAGGCTACACACACTGATTTTCTGTTCTTGCTATAATAATATAATAATATGCCATTTAGCAGACGCTTTTATCCAAAGCGACTTACAGTCATGTGTGCATACATTTTTACGTATGGGTGGTCCCGGGGATCGAACCCACTACCCTGGCGTTACAAGCGCCATGCTCTACCAATTGAGCTACAGCTCTGTTTATCTTCTGTTTTCAGTGTCTGCTGTGTATGATGTCACACTGAACTTCAAAGACCACCAAGTCCCCACTCTGCTGGGCATCATCAACGGCAAGAAATACATGGCAGATATGAGAATCAGGTGGGTATGGACCAACAGATATGACCCTGTGATTAATACTGGAGCTGTTTCAGATGGAAGCCCATGATGTTCTCTTAGCCCGTTGGCACTGTTCCAAGCACGTTGGATTTTTTATAGTAAGAGAAACGATGGACGGCTCAACTCAGCTGGAGTCTTGCATAACACTCCTTTGTGTTGCTGGGGTAGTCATGTCCTGTCCTAACCAGCACACATGGGTAAAGAGAGGCTGAAAGAGGGGAGAGATGGCTTAGAGAGGGCAGCGAGATCACAGAAAAGCTGCGGTGAAAAGCCTCACTCTGTGACTCCCTGAGACGATCATTAAATACCAGAGTTAGTGTCAGGCCTCTGTAAAAACATCAGCTACACTGTAAGATTACAGAGAGCCATCAACTCTTACAGGGAGGAGACTAAACTGTGAGATTACAGAGAGCCAATTGCAGGGGTTAAATTTCTCCGTCACTGCAACGGATTTCCATCATATGGATTCTGGAGAGGTCGTTTTTGAGATGAGGACGGCTCCCCTGCATGAATGAGCCCTGTGTGAGGCTAAACGGGGAGAGTAGCCTGGTGTGGCAAAAACAGATGCTTGTTTAATGGCCCAGTCCTACTTTTACTTTATGAGGAACCCCAATCTGAACCTTGAGTGAGTTTGCCCCCTGGTGGTGAGATGTTGCTATAGCCGACGCTCATTCTCCTGCATTCCGTTGCCATAGTAGACTCCCCCTGCTATCTCCTGCGTTGTTGACTGCCTGTCTCCTCTGCTCCGGCCTGCAGGCGGTTCCCTGTAGAGGAGATCCCAGAAGATGAGAAGGAGTGTGCCAACTGGCTTCATAAACTCTACCAGGAGAAGGTAAGGCTCTTTTAGTGCTTGAGGTTTAACTGAATAGTGTTAAATGTAGAGACGTTTTCTTTCCTGTAGAAGTCAGACATATAAACTCATATATCAGATGAGTTACACTGACGCCTACCTTTTTTTATTTTGAAGTAACAACACAATGTTTTACCAGGTTTGGTAGTAGCCACCTACTGTAGCTTGATATTGTCTCTCTCTCTCCAGGATGCTCTGCAGGAGCACTACCATAAAGAGGGCACTTTCCCGGGTCCCACCATCACCCCTCCACGTCGGTTGTGGACGCTAGTCAACTTCCTGTTCTGGGCGACCCTGCTGCTCTCGCCCCTCATTAACTTCGCCTGCGGGGTGGTGGTCAGCGGCTCCCCCCTCCTCATCCTTGGCTTCAGCCTCTTCCTCATCGTAGGTGAGGAGAGGGTAGACAACAGCCTCAAGCACTTCCTCTCCACTGTTACCTTGATCCAATAACAATGAGCTTTATACAGTAGCTAACTCCAACACATATGTGAACGTAACGTAAATGTTGACTGATGTGTGTAGTTCCTGACAACAAAGTTACATGTAAGTAAATATTATAATTTTGTGACAGTTTTTTGCCTCTAGGAGATTTGGTCCATCATCTGTCTGTTTTCTTTTTGGTCCTCTTCAGCCTCCATAGCCATCCGGCGCCTGATCGGTGTCACCGAGGTAAAGAAGACGGGCTCCAGTTACGGCGACGAGGGGGCTAAGAAACAGAACTAGACCTCTACCTCCCCCCTGACCGCGGTTCGTTGCTGTACGGTCCTCCTCCCTCTCTTCTGTTGTCCTGGAGGTGCAGTCAGCACGCCGGGGAGGGGGCCAAACCATTACACCTAGAGATAAAACCGATAGATCTGGAGGGGGACAAACCATTACACCTAGAGATAAAACGGATAGATCTGGAGGGGGCCAAACCATTACACCTAGAGATAAAACAGATAGATCTGGAGGGGGCCAAACCATTACACCTAGAGATAAAACAGATAGATCTGGAGGGGGCCAAACCATTACACCTAGAGATAAAACTGATAGATCTGGAGGGGGCCAAACCATTACACCTAGAGATAAAACTGATAGATCTGGAGGGGGCCAAACCATTACACCTAGAGATAAAACAGATAGATCTGGAGGGGGCCAAACCATTACACCTAGAGATAAAACTGATAGATCTGGAGGGGGCCAAACCATTACACCTAGAGATAAAACAGATAGATCTGGAGGGGGCCAAACCATTACACCTAGAGATAAAACAGATAGATCTGGAGGGGGCCAAACCATTACACCTAGAGATAAAACTGATAGATCTGGAGGGGGCCAAACCATTACACCTAGAGATAAAACTGATAGATCTGGAGGGGGCCAAACCATTACACCTAGAGATAAAACTGATAGATCTGGAGGGGGCCAAACCATTACACCTAGAGATAAAACTGATAGATCTGGAGGGGGCCAAACCATTACACCTAGAGATAAAACTGATAGATCTGGAGGGGGCCAAACCATTACACCTAGAGATAAAACAGATAGATCTGGATAATGAGAGGAAAGAAAGAGAGAGAGGGGTATGACCATGGAAGGAGTGTGGAGAGAGAGAGAAAAAGGAGACCGTCTAGAGCCAGCTCTCTGTGGAGTAGGAGAGAGCAGAAGGACTGAGAAGGGGAGGTACTGCTATGACCATGCTCTTTGCCCCCTTAATGCCCTCAGATGCCGCCGGCCCCGCCCACTCTTCACCACCTAACCGCTGGGGTCCACAACACCGGACAGCCAACCAGCTCACCACCCCAGAAGCAAGACCACTTCCTGTTCTGAGCTGCCACTTCCTCTTCCTGTCACATGCTCTGGTCCTTTTTTTTGTTGTTGAGCTGGTGTTACTACAGTGTTGACCTCTTGTAACGTACAGTATATCTCCCCCCTCGTTCTACCAAATGACTGGACTTCTAATGGGAACCAGTTTCTTGAGGCTCAGCCTGATTTCCACTTTGCTTTTAACCTCTGAGGAAAAGGGGTTTGTCTTTTTCACTGTGCTTCCTGTCTCTGCTGTGGGAGCCCGCCCCCTTTATATTTGTTGTCCAGCTTCAAGATCAAATATAATGGGCTGATTCTAGAAGTCTATGCATTCTGGGTACTATTGAATATTACTATAGCACTTATTTGTCATCTGGGCTATGTTCAACAGCAGACATGGGACTTCCAGTGTTTTAAATACTGAGGCAGGTTTGTGTTAAGACTACAGTAAGGTATCTGTATTCATTAACTACACGCTAACTAACTAACTACTTACTAACATCTGTTATCGTTGACATGAAATTTCACACCACCGTTCCAACGCCCTCCAGTTCTGACCGTAATGATTATTTTGTGGATGTAGGTTTTTACAGCATTCTCCCTGCTTGCTCACAAGTAAATGTCTGCACACACATTACCATGCCATTTTATGACGAGCCGGTTCCTGAGTGAGCTATGACCTTCTCCTGCTGACTCCTGCAACCACCCCCAGTGTCTTTACACAGCTCAACCACCCCCAGTGTCTTTACACAGCTCAACCACCCCCCAGTGTCTTTACACAGCTCAACCACCCCCAGTGTCTTTACACAGCTCAACCACCCCCAGTGTCTACACAGCTCAACCACCCCCAGTGTCTACACAGCTCAACCACCCCCAGTGTCTTTACACAGCTCAACCACCCCCAGTGTCTTTACACAGCCAACCACCCCCAGTGTCTACACAGCTCAACCACCCCCAGTGTCTTTACACAGTTCAACCACCCCCAGTGTCTTTACACAGCTCAACCACCCCCGGTTTCTTTACACAGCTCAACCACCCCTAGTGTCTACACAGCTCAACCACCCCCAGTGTCTTTACACAGCTCAACCACCCCCAGTGTCTTTACACAGCTCAACCACCCCCCAGTGTCTTTACACAGCTCAACCACCCCCAGTGTCTTTACACAGCTCAACCAACCCGTGACTACACAGCTCAACCACCCCTGGTGGCTATACACAGCTCAACCACCCCCGGTGGCTATACACAGCTCAACCACCCCACCCCTGGTGTCAGTGTGACTCTTATAATAACCAATTCCAGTCCAGACTATAACCCCACCTACCCAGTCCAGACTATAACCCCACCTACCCAGTCCAGACTATAACCCCACCTACCCAGTCCAGACTATAACCCCACCTACCCAGTCCAGACTATAACCCCACCTACCCAGTCCAGACTATAACCCCACCTACCCAGTCCAGACTATAACCCCACCTACCCAGTCCAGACTATAACCCCACCTACCCAGTCCAGACTATAACCCCACCTACCCAGTAGCTACTGATTCTCCTCTCCAGCTGTAGACTAGTAATGTTTGCCTCTGCAATGATGACTGTTTGATTGGTTACAATGTTCCCGCCCTACCCCATCTCTTAGGCTAGGGTGACTGTTTGATTGGTTACTAAGGTTCCCGCCCTACCCCGTCTCTTAGGCTAGGGTGATTTGATTTGTTACTAAGTTCCCATCTCTTAGGCTAGGGTGATTGTTCGATTGGTTACTATGTTCCCGCCCTACCCCGTCTCTTAGGCTAGGGTGATTTGATTTGTTACTAAGTTCCCATCTCTTAGGCTAGGGTGATTGTTCGATTGGTTACTATGTTCCCGCCCTACCCCGTCTCTTAGGCTAGGGTGATTTGATTTGTTGCTAAGTTCCCATCTCTTAGGCTAGGGTGATTGTTCGATTGGTTACTAGGTTCCCGCCCTACCCCATCTCTTAGGCTAGGGTGATTTGATTGGTTACTAAGTTCTCATCTCTTAGGCTAGGGTGATTGTTCGATTGGTTACTAAGTTCCCAGCCCTACCTCATCTCTTCCTCTACTAAAGTCTTGTACTCAGACACACTCCACCAGTCCTTCATCCGTAATGGTGCACTGTGGGTAGTTGAATTTTCTCTGGGTTAGTACTGTTATGTTTATGGGTTTATTTGGCCTTGGTTTCTGTTACCATGGTGCAGGAGTAATAGGATCTTATTGAATTGTAATTACACTTACATGTGTCATTTAGCAGAAGCTCTAATCCAGAACAATTTACAATACCGTCCATAACAGTACTGTTCTACTTCTCAGTAGCCGCGATGTGTTACATGATGTTACTAAAGCTGCTTACAGGTCCTGCGCTGCACAGGAAGGAGGAGTTCCCTTCCTGCTGCTATTCCCTGCAGGGTACAGAACCACCCTTGGCTCACGCACGGCAACTGCACTTGCTTTCCAAACACCTCACATTGTTTATCTCTACTCATTGGACAATTATTTACATTCTCTGACGACCTGCTCCATCTGTGGTCTGAAGGGTTGTATTAGGGAGGGGGATGACTTTCCTTTACAACTGGGATTGACATGAAAGCAGACGTCAGATTACAGGTGACTGGTATTTCCTCAGTGCAACACGCAGACATAGGAGCAACACGTCATCCTCATCATCCCTTGTCTGGAGAGGACACCATTTTGTGTTACAACGTCACCGGTTTTTCTCCCTATGTTCATAATGTCCTTTGTTCTTCTTCTTTTTGTTTTATTGTTAAATGGTTTTTAACCAGGACAGATTCATGCAAGCCTTAACAGACAGAGAGTGCAGCTTCATTATATTGTATTGTGTGAACTTAGACAGACCACACTTCCTCAGCCCCATTGTAGTACGTTTTGGATTGGCAAGTGGTGTGGGAGACTGATTTAGTAAGATTCACATTCATCTGCCCTCTGTTAAAAAAGAAAAGGAACTCGAGTTTATTTCTCAATGTGGAATCTTGGAAACAAGTAGTTTGGGTTAGTTGATAAGGTATAGTTAGTGTTAAGCCTGAAGAGATGGGGGTTCCGTCAGAATCTGCTCATTGTTACAGAAATAGTTGAGGGCCCTATTTTAGGAATAGACTCAGTGTCCTGTGATGATTCTGTGTTCGATACCTCTGTTACAACTCCTGTTACATCTCAACTGTCAATACAACTGTTACAGTAGCTTAGGAGAGATCTGGGCCCGTATCCACGGAGTCTCAGAATAGGAGTGCTGATCTAGGATCTATCCATATATTCTTATTCATAATGATCTAAAAGGCTAAACTAATCCTATATCAGCTCTGAGAGGCTTTGTGGATACGGGCCCTGTTCTAAGTTGTGTGGCATACGTTTTGGCTCATCTCCACAGTGTCCTTCCCATACTGTAATTCCAAACTACAATACCCATCAGGCACTGGTGCAGTCCCACCTCTCCCTCAGGTATCTGTCAGCTGTGTTTACACAGGCAGCCTTATTCTGATATTTTTTTCACCAATTGGTCTTTTGACCAATCGGATCAGCTCTGAAAAGATCTGATGTGATTGGTCAAAAGACCAATTAGTGTATAAACGATCTGAATTGGGCTGCCTGTCTAAACGCAGCCTATGGTGTATCTATTCCAGAGCAACAGGACAAATGCAGAGAAGCTAACACTATTTGACATTTTCTAACACTGGAGGTTTGTACTGCAAAAAAATCCCACTACTGATTTTCTTATTTTTGTTCAAGTTCTCGAAACTAAAGAAGCAAGTAACGTTAGAAATTCAACACTGAAATTTGACCCTTTTTGGCATGAAAGTTGTTCACTTAAGTGGCATCTCTCAACTCAATTTACATTTTTGTTTTTTTTCTAAGTCTATTTGTATCTGTTTCTTTAATTAAACAATTAAGAATATTAAAGGATTTAATCACTCAATTCTTATTCTTTCAGTTTGTTTGAATTTGTCTGAATGAATTTCTCAATGTGTACTTGTGCAGCAGAACCACATTGTCTTCAGACCGATGACGTCATTCTAACGAGACAGCGTTGTCATTAACTATCAGCTGACCTAAGACGATGGCAGAACCACGCAGAGCAGGCCCTTTGGTTGCGTTTACACAGGCAGCCTAATTCTGATATTTTTCCCAATTGTTGGAAAAAGAGCTGATCTGATTGTTCAAAAGACCAATTAGTGGGGGAAAAATCTGAATGTTTGGCCTGTGTAAATGCAGCCTTAGTATCACCAACATCATCCTTCATCCACATTACCCTATACCCCTCAAACTCAACTCTGGACCTCGAAGCCAGTTCCACTGCATTTGTCCTTGTTCCCCTCGAATCAGGGACTGCTTTAGACCTGGGACAGCAGGTGTGTGTGTACAATTAATTATTAGGTAGAACAGCAAACCAGCAGGCTCCGGACCTCGTCGGGTAAGAGTTGAGTACCCCTGCCCTATACTAACCAGGTACACACTATCAGTCAGACCCTTCACGCTGCCATATCACATTGAAACACCATGGTACAAATACCCGTACTTTATATCCAAGTCCTACCAGAAACTGAATACATGTTTTGGCAATAATATACCTTTTTTTTTTAATTACATTTTGAGAATCTACTGTCTAATCAAACACTGACATCTCTAACCTTTCTGAATGGCGGTTTCAATCTTGAACTGTATCTGTAGAAAAAACACGCTGGATTGCGAACACAGCCCTTTGTTATTTAAGCTTAAAAACCTTCAGTGACTCCAGAAAGTCCTGCAATAACTATTGCTAGAGGAGAGAGCTTGTTAAGCATTTTTCCATAATGACTGTAATTAATCATGATTGCTTAACTTTAGCCTATTTACTTTTTGCATGGTGTGCATTGTTGCACACATACTGAGTTAATTCTGATTCCGGGATTATTTTACAGACTGGCAATAGAACATCTTAAAAATAATAATATTGAACAGCTGTTATATTCACTTTGAATCGGAATAAAAAAGGCTATCTCCGGGAGCTGAAAAAGACTAGTTGATATGCAGGCACACCATTCTAAACTTTACTTGACTCTACATTACCCTTTTTTAAGTTAATTTCTGAACTTTAGGAATCAAGGACATGGCAGAAATGATAAGACTTGACACTCATGAACACTGTCCATACAGTGCCTTCAGAAAGTATTCTTAACCCTTGACTTATTCCACATTTTGTGTTAGCCTAACGCAGTGGCGGCTCCTGAAAAAATTCTCAGGAGGGGCAATTTTTCTGATGATTTAGGTGACCTACACACATTTAAAAAAAAGATATGTCCAGCAACAACATGAAGACAGGGGCAGCATATAAGTCAATACCAGAAGCATTTATTGACTGATCTCAAAAGTGTTGGCTTACCAGGGTTGGTGGAGCCCTCAGTTTCATCTTTGCCTCGCAAAGCTAACTCAAACACTCCGCAAAACTTCACACACTGGATTAGCCGGCTGAGGATGTGGCGGTTCTTGCTAATGTCGTAGTAAATATATTTGTTATAGTGAATATGGAAAATGATATGTTGAGTAAAATGTTGTGCTAAGATCTATTTAGGTCAGGAGCTGGTTATAAGTTCTGTTCCTATCCAATAACAATGGACAAAAGGGTCCTATCTTGTCAGCCTTGTCAGCAGGTGGCCAAGGACAACACCCACGCCATAGGCCTCTCAGTTCTTCCAACTCACGAGTTCTTGCTCTGAGGACACACACACACACAAACACACACACACACACACACACATCATCACTGTTAAACACACACACACACACACACAAAAATCCCCTCTCTTAGGCTGAACATTTGAAGACAGAGAACCCGACTCAGAGCCAATGCAACAGTGACAGTAGCCTGGAGGTGACCTCGCCCAACTCATCAGGACCAATCAGAAGATCAGAACTACTAGATTGAACCTACTTCATTTATTGCATAAAATGTCTGCACACAATGTTTCGGGGCTCTCTTCAGATAATAATAATAATAATAATAATATGCCATTTAGCAGACGCTTTTATCCAAAGCGACTTACAGTCATGCGTGCATACATTTTTGTGTATGGGTGGTCCCGGGGATCGAACCCACTACCTTGGCGTTACAAGCACCATGCTCTACCAGCTGAGCTACAGAAAGTGGATACTCATGGATGCGCATTGCAATTGTAAAATGTCAACACAATTGGAGACACCACGTCATTTTTGGAGACATGTTATTGACAGTAAACTATTGTAGATGCGACTGCTAACTAAATAAAACATTTTAGCTGGCTAGCTAATCATCTTAGCTAAATGTGGGGCAAACAATTCAGTTATTTACCGTTAATTTGAGGGATTGGGGTGAAAGAAATCGAGTTACATAGTGATACTTTACGATATACTGTATTGACAATATCGCAATATTTTAGCGCTAGTTGGCTGTACCTGCACCAAAACACCATTACTGTTCCTTCATAGCTTGTTCTCAATCTTTTCACATTGGGAGCCAATTAGTTTTCAGCACTTTTATTTCCATGACTGATCAAAACTCGTTCTCATGGCTTTCTGATCCCTCTGCAACAGACATATGGTGCGCAATAAAATCACAGTATCGAATCGCAATACGTATAGAATCATGAGACTCGCAATGCTGATGCATATATCTTATCGTGAGGTTCCTGGCAATTCCCAGGCCAAGTTCATTTGCCACAACAAATCTCTTCGCTAGCAAACGCGATGTCTTCTCCAAAACGACAATGTGTCTCCAGCAATGTTTACTTTTTTGACGTTCTATGGCATCTCCACTTTCCAAGCATATATGACCACATGTAATATTTTGGTAAGTGATGCAAATAGTGAACTATGTAGGGCCAGGATGTAAAATATATGTAGCTGCAGCAATTTCTCTTATCTGATATGGTAAGTAATGGGGCTTAATTTATAGCTCCCTAAGAGTTTGACGAACGGGTCCGTGAACGCGATTCCAGATATATTTACCTCTGAATAAACTGCCTTTATTACACCATATCCACATCCAGTAAACTTGTGATTATCAACACTAACCTCATCGTTGTGGCGGCGGACAGCTAGCCTGTATCCCTCGTCATCCAGTTGAGTGAGTGGCAATGTCTTTTTTCGTTCGTACCAATTTTTGGAAAATCCTCGGGTGTAGGACTTTCCGCCTTTAGTAGAAACCTGTTGAATTATTAAATTTGGTCTGGGAGGTCCTAATTGTTTCGTTGCCAATTTATCTTAATTTGTTCGCCGACAAAAAGGAACTTCTTTCAAAGACACAATCGAGTTGGACTGAAGCCTAGCCATTTTGATAGTAGTAGTGAATTGATTGAGGCTGCTACCTGGTCTTTTCTTAGTTACGTTCATTCGTGGTTACGTTATGTATGACGAAAGCGCGTAAGTGCAAGCCCACAGACACCCATAGAGAATGTATTGAAAGCTTTGAAATGTGAAAAAAATAGATTTTACATGACAGGCTATGAGAGACTTCTGGGCGATTTTCAACCTGACTGAAATCGCCCAAAAAACGGGCGGGGCCATTTGAAGCACGACTTTAGCCTGATTTGACATTTAGTGGCTGTCAGATCAGACGTGAACACTGATAACTGCTGTTGCCGTGATATAATTTTTTATGAATTTATAAAAAAAATATATATATATTTTTTTTTTTTATAATTGATTAGAAAAAAAATCCCTTCCTTTTCCCGTTTGGCAGTGCGTCGCCCATATCGCCCTATTGAACAAGCCGTCCCTGGCCTAACGGATTAAATATTTATTTATTTTCACCCATCTACACACAATACCCCATAATGACAAAGAGAAACATGTTTTTAGAAATGTTTGCCAATTTATTGAAAATGAAATACAGAAATATCTCATTTACATAAGTATTCACACCCCTGAGTCAATACATGTTAGAATCACCTTTGGCAGTGATTACAGTTGTGTGTGTCTCTGGTTAAGTCTCTAAGTGCTTTGCACACCTAAATTGTACAATATTTGCACATTATACTTTTTTTAATTCCTCATGCTCTGTCAAGTTAGTTGTTGATCATTGCTAGACAGCCATTTTCAAGTTTTGCCATAGATTTTCTGGCCAATTTAAGTCAAAACTGTAACTAGGCCACTCAGGAACATTCAATGCCGTCTTGGTAAGCAACTCCATTGTATATTTGGCCTTGTGTTTTAGGTTATTGTCCTGCTGAAAGGTGAATTTGTCTCCCAGTATCTGTTGGAAAGCAGACTGAACCAGGTTTCCCTCTACGATTATGCCTGTGCTTTGCTCTATTCCATTTATTTTCATCCTAAAAAACTCCCTAGTCAATGTCAAGCCCTTAACGATTAGAAGCATACCCATAACCATAGCAGGAGGAAGTCGTTTCGGGGTCGGGCTGCGATTATTTTTGTAGACCCGGGAGGGTGCTACATCGGTCCACCAATACAGGACTATTAAAGGCCCAGTGCACCACCTTTGTGAAAAAACGTTTATTTGTATGTATTTTTAATTCCGATTTTTCAGGGAGTGCTGCAGCACCCTTCCTGCGGCTATACCCATAACATGATGCAAGCACCACCATGCTTGAAATATGAAGAGTGGTACTCAGTGATGTGTTGTGTTGGATTTGCCCCAAACATAACACTTTGTATTCAGGACGTTTCTTTGCCATATTTTTTGCAGTTTTATTTTAGTGCCTTACTGCAAACAGGATGCATGTTTTAGAAATGTTTTATTATGTACAGGTTTCCTTCTTTTTACTCTGTCATCTAAGTTAGTATTGTGGAGTAACTACAATGTTGTTGATCCATCCTCAGTTTTCTCCTTTCACAGCCATTAAACTCTGTTACTGTTTGTCCTCATTGTGGTGCCAGGACAACAACCTATGCCTTTACTTCAGCAAAACAAAGGAGTTGATTGTTGACTTCAGGAAGCAGAGGAGGGAACACGCCTCGATCCACATCAATGGGACTGCAGTAGAGAGAGTCAGGAGTTTTAAGTTCCTCAGAGTCCACATCACTGAGGACTTGACATGGACCAGCAACACCACCACTCTTGTCAAGAGGGCGCAACAGCGGCTGTACTTCCTAAGGGGCCCGAAGAAATTCGGCATGCCACCCCGGCTCCTGTCCAAATACTACCGCTGCACCATTGAGAGCGTCCTGACCGGTTGCATCATGGCCTGGTACGGGGATTTCTCCACCCACGACCACAAGGCCCTCCAGCGCGTGGTGACGATGGCCCAGGACATCACTGGGGCCGTGTTCCCACACATCCATGAGATCTACTTGAAATGGTGCCTGAGGAAGTCCCGCAACATCAACAAGGACCCCACACACCTCAGCAATGAGCTGTTCTCTCCCTTATCGGAGCATGAGGTCTGATACCAACAGGCTCAAAGACAGTTTCTTTCTACAAGCCATCAGACTGCTGAACACTTGAACTGGACTGACCACCTGCTCTGACTCTCCTCACCTTAGCACACACATAGTCTTGTACTTTATAACTAACCTTGTGGGGACACACAATTCAGTCCCATTCAAAATCCTATTTTCCTTAACCCTAAACCTAATTCTACCCCTAATTCTAACCTTAACCCTAATCCTAACCCTAGATCCTAAACCTAATTCTAATCCTAGCACTTTCTAACCTTAACCCTAACCTTAACCCTAAACCTAACCCTAGATCCTAAACCTAATTCTAACCTTAAACCTAACCCTAGATCCTAACCCTAATTCTAACCTTAAACCTAACCCTAGATCCTAACGTTGACCATAACCCTAAACCTAACCTTAACACTAATCCTTACTCTAAATCCTAAACCTAATCCTAACCTTAACCCTAACCCTAGATTCTAAACCTAATTCTAACCTTAACCCCAGCTGGTTGTTTGTTTACTATTCTTGTGGAGAATTCTGTTCCCCATAAGTATAGCTAAACACACACACACACACACAATCATGCTACACACACTTCACAATTGCTGCTACCAGACTCATATTTACTGCTGCTAATACTGCATAATTTAAACACTTGCCCTCCAATCCCCCTTTGTCTGATACATGTTTAAACGTGTTACTATAAATTGTACCTTCCTGTATTATACTTATACTAAAATGTTTATTCTATTCTACTGAGACATTTACTTTATGTTTATATATTATTTTATTTCTTAGTGTTGTTGCATTGTCCAGAAGAAACCTGCAAATAAACATTTAGTTGGACGGTGTATACCATGTGTATCATGTACTTACGACTAATAAAACTTGAAACTTGACATTTGGTCATACTGCAATGCCTAAAATCAAATGTGTTATTTGTCATAAAACATTCACTCTTCTCTCTAATAGGGCATCAGCATAGTCTCCCTGAGCTGAGAATTGTCCTCCTGAGGAGGGATTGCCTGGAGAAGAGTCTGACAGGAAACACCATACTGGACAGGAAGCTGTTTGACACCATGAGGGACGTGGAGATGTGTTAGGAGACAGAGTTTAGTGGACGGCCGGCGGGTCACCTTGGTCAGCACACCAGAACGCTGGATCCAGTACTCTGTGCAGGACCCTCTCCTTGTCCACTGCAACAAGGAAGCCAGCATGTCCATGTGTAAACCAGGTCCCCATGCCTTCGTCATGGTAATCCCTGTAAACTCACGCAAAGGCAGGAACTGGACAGTAGAGGGCGACCTCGAGCTTCTAAACCACACTGTGGAGGCACATGACACTGAGGGGCAAGTCACTAGATGAGACATGGTTTTCTCCAGGAGATGGTGGAGAATTGTGGGAATAGGTACCATTCTATAAACACCAGGTCAAACAATGCATGGGATGATGACATCACTCAGGACCCAGAGCTGCTGAGGAAGATAGATTAAATGGTGGCAGGAAACAGTGAGGGCAGTGGTCCTGGTTATGTTATCATTAATTAAAGTTTTTCAATGGCCGTTGAGGCGAAGAGGTCGGCAGAGGTCTGTGCTCCGTGGTGAGGGTCAATAAAAAATGTTTTTTTACCAAATAAATTCAGCAAAAACCTTTACCCTTACATTTTAACTGGTTCTGTGCCATATATGAAATCATGCAAATAGATTATGTTATCTAAAATAATAAGGGACTACCATAGGAGCTGCCGCAGGGGGCATGGCTGGCTCTGTGAGGACTCCACTAAGGGTAACAACAGGGACTGCTATAGAAGCTGGCTCTGTGAGGACTCCACTAAGGGTAACAACAGGGACTGCTATAGAAGCTGGGTCTGTGAGGGCTCCACTAAGGGTAACAACAGGGACTGCTATAGAAGCTGGGTCTGTGAGGGCTCCACTAAGGGTAGAAACAGGGACTGCTATAGAAGCTGGCTCTGTGAGGGCTCCACTAAGGGTAACAACAGGGACTGCTATAGAAGCTGGCTCTGTGAGGGCTCCACTAAGGGTAACAACAGGGACTGCTATAGAAGCTGGGTCTGTGAGGGCTCCACTAAGGGTAGAAACAGGGACTGCTATAGAAGCTGGCTCTGTGAGGGCTCCACTAAGGGTAGAAACAGGGACTGCTATAGAAGCTGGCTCTGTGAGGGCTCCACTAAGGGTAACAACAGGGACTGCTATAGAAGCTGGGTCTGTGAGGACTCCACTAAGGGTAGAAACGGGGACTGCTATAGAAGCTGGCTCTGTGAGGGCTCCACTAAGGGTAACAACAGGGACTGCTATAGAAGCTGGGTCTGTGAGGGCTCCACTAAGGGTAGAAACAGGGACTGCTATAGAAGCTGGCTCTGTGAGGGCTCCACTAAGGGTAACAACAGGGACTGCTATAGAAGCTGGCTCTGTGAGGGCTCCACTAAGGGTAACAACAGGGACTGCTATAGAAGCTGGGTCTGTGAGGGCTCCACTAAGGGTAGAAACAGGGACTGCTATAGAAGCTGGGTCTGTGAGGGCTCCACTAAGGGTAACAACAGGGACTGCTATAGAAGCTGGGTCTGTGAGGGCTCCACTAAGGGTAGAAACAGGGACTGCTATAGAAGCTGGCTCTGTGAGGGCTCCACTAAGGGTAACAACAGGGACTGCTATAGAAGCTGGCTCTGTGAGGGCTCCACTAAGGGTAACAACAGGGACTGCTATAGAAGCTGGGTCTGTGAGGACTCCACTAAGGGTAGAAACGGGGACTGCTATAGAAGCTGGCTCTGTGAGGGCTCCACTAAGGGTAACAACAGGGACTGCTATAGAAGCTGGGTCTGTGAGGGCTCCACTAAGGGTAGAAACAGGGACTGCTATAGAAGCTGGCTCTGTGAGGGCTCCACTAAGGGTAACAACAGGGACTGCTATAGAAGCTGGCTCTGTGAGGGCTCCACTAAGGGTAACAACAGGGACTGCTATAGAAGCTGGGTCTGTGAGGGCTCCACTAAGGGTAGAAACAGGGACTGCTATAGAAGCTGGGTCTGTGAGGGCTCCACTAAGGGTAACAACAGGGACTGCTATAGAAGCTGGGTCTGTGAGGGCTCCACTAAGGGTAGAAACAGGGACTGCTATAGAAGCTGGCTCTGTGAGGGCTCCACTAAGGGTAACAACAGGGACTGCTATAGAAGCTGGGTCTGTGAGGACTCCACTAAGGGTAGAAACGGGGACTGCTATAGAAGCTGGCTCTGTGAGGGCTCCACTAAGGGTAACAACAGGGACTGCTATAGAAGCTGGGTCTGTGAGGGCTCCACTAAGGGTAGAAACAGGGACTGCTATAGAAGCTGGCTCTGTGAGGGCTCCACTAAGGTTAACAACAGGGACTGCTATAGAAGCTGGCTCTGTGAGGGCTCCACTAAGGGTAACAACAGGGACTGCTATAGAAGCTGGGTCTGTGAGGGCTCCACTAAGGGTAGAAACAGGGACTGCTATAGAAGCTGGGTCTGTGAGGGCTCCACTAAGGGTAACAACAGGGACTGCTATAGAAGCTGGGTCTGTGAGGGCTCCACTAAGGGTAGAAACAGGGACTGCTATAGAAGCTGGGTCTGTGAGGGCTCCACTAAGGGTAACAACAGGGACTGCTATAGAAGCTGGGTCTGTGAGGGCTCCACTAAGGGTAACAACATGGACTGCTATAGAAGCTGGGTCTGTGAGGGCTCCACTAAGGGTAACAACAGGGACTGCTATAGAAGCTGGGTCTGTGAGGGCTCCACTAAGGGTAACAACAGGGACTGCTATAGAAGCTGGGTCTGTGAGGACTCCACTAAGGGTAACAACAGGGACTGCTATAGAAGCTGGGTCTGTGAGGGCTCCACTAAGGGTAACAACATGGACTGCTATAGAAGCTGGGTCTGTGAGGGCTCCACTAAGGGTAACAACAGGGACTGCTATAGAAGCTGGGTCTGTGAGGGCTCCACTAAGGGTAACAACAGGGACTGCTATAGAAGCTGGGTCTGTGAGGACTCCACTAAGGGTAACAACAGGGACTGCTATAGAAGCTGGGTCTGTGAGGACTCCACTAAGGGTAACAACAGGGACTGCTATAGAAGCTGGGTCTGTGAGGACTCTACTAAGGGTAACAACAGGGACTGCTATAGAAGCTGGGTCTGTGAGGTCTCCACTAAGGGTAACAACAGGGACTGCTATAGAAGCTGGGTCTGTGAGGACTCCACTAAGGGTAACAACAGGGACTGCTATAGAAGCTGGCTCTGTGAGGGCTTCACTAAGGGTAACAACAGGGACTGCTATAGAAGCTGGCTCTGTGAGGGCTCCACTAAGGGTAACAACAGGGACTGCTATAGAAGCTGAGTCTGAGGGCTCCACTAAGGGTAACAACAGGGACTGCTATAGAAGCTGGGTCTGTGAGGACTCTACTAAGGGTAACAACAGGGACTGCTATAGAAGCTGGGTCTGTGAGGACTCTACTAAGGGTAACAACAGGGACTGCTATAGAAGCTGGCTCTGTGAGGGCTTCACTAAGGGTAACAACAGGGACTGCTATAGAAGCTGGCTCTGTGAGGGCTCCACTAAGGGTAACAACAGGGACTGCTATAGAAGCTGGGTCTGTGAGGGCTCCACTAAGGGTAACAACAGGGACTTCTATAGAAGCTGGGTCTGTGAGGACTCTACTAAGGGTAACAACAGGGACTGCTATAGAAGCTGGGTCTGTGAGGACTCCACTAAGGGTAACAACAGGGACTGCTATAGAATCTGGGTCTGTGAGGACTCCACTAAGGGTAACAACAGGGACTGCTATAGAAGCTGGGTCTGTGAGGACTCCACTAAGGGTAACAACAGGGACTGCTATAGAAGCTGGGTCTGTGAGGACTCCACTAAGGGTAACAACAGGGACTGCTATAGAAGCTGGGTCTGTGAGGACTCCACTAAGGGTAACAACAGGGACTGCTATAGAAGCTGGGTCTGTGAGGACTCTACTAAGGGTAACAACAGGGACTGCTATAGAAGCTGGGTCTGTGAGGTCTCCACTAAGGGTAACAACAGGGACTGCTATAGAAGCTGGGTCTGTGAGGACTCCACTAAGGGTAACAACAGGGACTGCTATAGAAGCTGGCTCTGTGAGGGCTTCACTAAGGGTAACAACAGGGACTGCTATAGAAGCTGGGTCTGTGAGGGCTCCACTAAGGGTAACAACAGGGACTGCTATAGAAGCTGAGTCTGAGGGCTCCACTAAGGGTAACAACAGGGACTGCTAGAGAAGCTGGGTCTGTGAGGACTCTACTAAGGGTAACAACAGGGACTGCTATAGAAGCTGGGTCTGTGAGGACTCTACTAAGGGTAACAACAGGGACTGCTATAGAAGCTGGCTCTGTGAGGGCTTCACTAAGGGTAACAACAGGGACTGCTATAGAAGCTGGCTCTGTGAGGGCTCCACTAAGGGTAACAACAGGGACTGCTATAGAAGCTGGGTCTGTGAGGGCTCCACTAAGGGTAACAACAGGGACTGCTATAGAAGCTGGGTCTGTGAGGACTCTACTAAGGGTAACAACAGGGACTGCTATAGAAGCTGGGTCTGTGAGGACTCCACTAAGGGTAACAACAGGGACTGCTATAGAAGCTGGGTCTGTGAGGACTCCACTAAGGGTAACAACAGGGACTGCTATAGAAGCTGGGTCTGTGAGGACTCCACTAAGGGTAACAACAGGGACTGCTATATGAGCTGCAGTTGGGACTCTGCTGGGGAGTTTACTGATATGAGAGGAGGCCAGAGAGAAGAGAGTGGAGTCAGATTCCCCTCATTAACAATAACAAGGATATATATGGAAGATAAGGTAGTGGGTTCGATCCCCGGGACCACCCATACACAAAAAAAAATTATGCAGGCATGACTGTAAGTCGCTTTGGATAAAAGCGTCTGCTAAATGGCATATTATTATTATTATTATTTAAGCTGGGATTGAGGCAAACTGAAAGAAACATTACAAGCACAGACTCAGTTCAACAATCAACATCATTACAAATTCAATGTGGAATAAACCAAACCTTTAAAGGTCCAATGCAGACATTTTTATTTAAATATTAAATCATTTCTGGGTTACAATTAAATCACTTACTGTGATTGTTTTAAATCAAAGATCAACATTACTTTGGATAAAAAAGAAACGATTTTAAGTACATCATTTGTTTAAAACAATTTAATGACAAAAAAATGTATTCAAATAATGGCTCCCTTGGTTATGATAAGGGTAAAAGTAGCAGGGGCGCAACTTTCACTTGACCACCCCACATTCTAAAATTGCATATATCTCCCCTATCAACATACACAACACTGCGGGGTGTGCTTTAGGACCATGCGGACCCCTCAAAGCGGTCGGGGAAGCAGTTTTCCAGTTTCAGCAGGCAGAGTTTAGGACTGCAATGTATACGGGAGAGATGAACAGAGGCAGCTGCTGACTGCGTTGCGCTTTTCTCCGAGTTGTAAAAGCAACACAAAAAAAGTACTCCCAGTGCTGAGCTAGTAGTGTAACTGACATGTTGCATTAGCTAATGTTTCATCACCTCTCGACCGAAGTGAATGAACTAGCTACTAGCTACCACAGCCAGTTCAGCTCTAGCTAGCATCTAGCTACCTGTTAGGTAGCAGTATCTAACAGCTGTTGTGTGTGTATGGAAATGTTTTGTAGCCTTTGTTTTGTCCCGTTTCAACAGAAGTACATTTGATGATGTACCATTTAGCTAGAGCTAGCCAAAAGTTGGCTAACGTAAGCTAGCTAGCTAACTAGATCCCAAACTGTAGCTATTATTTTTGCCTCAAGCACACTAGACCTGAATCAAACAATGAAACCAGCTGCCAAACGATTGAAGACCAATATTCTGATGTTTTTTCAGCGCAATGTGAAAATACTGTATCAGTCAGTATTGCAATGTAACGTTATTGATCTGTCAGTTTCCCTAGCTAATTCCCTACTTTTCACACTGACACGGTATAAACAGCTCTACAGGCTTCACTGTCATGGTGCACAGTTAGTACACAACACTATGCTCATCATGTCTTAGCAGGATCAGATGGTGACAGGTGTCCCTGAAGGGTCAGACAGCCAGGGAAGACCAGTCTACGGAGCTCAGGTGAATTTTGCAGTATATTTATAACAATCAGTGAATTGATACAAAGTTCCATCTTGAGTTGATGGGTAGGCTAAAGTCTAAGATCTGGGAATAATGGTCATTTCAATTATTGAACCATTGATTCTATCCATGGTTAATATAATGTATAAATGTACACCAAGGTCATTCTTTGTCATGCCTCATCTGAGCAGGATCAGATGGTGACAGGGGTCTCATCAGGGTCAGGCAGACGAGGAAGCCAGTCTGTGACATTGCAGAGGTGAACGTTTGCCGATACAACACTTTAAGCTTCAAAGATTAAAACTATTTAAAGGCAGTCTAACAAACTTCTAAAGTTGATTTCCAAACTGTATCAACGGTTGATAGAGGCTTTTCCCAATGACGCAAAACATGTCCCAAAAAAATGTGAGGAAGACTTGGGAAACGCTATTGATGATGACGAATGGATACAGATATGTTAAATGCCCAGTCATGCTCATGTAATCGCAGACATAAATTACTGCAGTTTAAGACCATCCATAGAATGTACTATATGCCAGTGAAACTGAATATCATGCACTCAGAAATGTTATTCTTCTGCTAGAGGTGTAAAACACAAAATGGGACATATTTGCATATGTTATGGTCTTGTGAAGGCCGGCTGAATTCTGGCAAAGAGTATGTTCCTTCATCTCAGCATGTCTACAGATTCTTCATTCTCCCTGTTTTTGTTTGCTTGGAAATGTTGATACTGGAGACTGTTATCAGAAGAAACTGTGTAACCTAGCATTTATAGCGGCTAAGAATTGGAGTGTCATTAATTGGAAGGTTGTTTATCCTCTCACAATGGATTGAAGAAATGTCAAGTTATGTATCACTAGATTTGATTAATTATAAGATTAAGGGTATACTGTGCAACTTTCATAAGGTCTGGATGCCTTATATGGAATACTGTACGACAAAAGGAGTCTGTATTGAAAACATCCCCACGTCAGGGGAGATACCTATTTAGGCAATCCCTAGCTGCTGGGCTGGTCAGTCCTGGCCCTGGGGGTCTGCCGTACTGTTGGTTGTCACTCTGGCCTTGGCCTAACACACCTGAAACCAATAATGAATGTTTCACTAAGACCCTAAAGCTGAGTGGGGTGTGTTGGGTTGGGGCGCTGCAGGGCCGTGGACCTCTAGGGACAGGACGGGGTGACCCAGCTTTATTGTGCGCAAGTAATAAGAGCTCTACAGTACTATTAGGCCTATGATATGAATTACACTGAACAAAAATATAGTTCAGTCTTACCGATCACTTAAACATATTTAGTAATGATCTCTTACCTACTAGCTTGATGTCTGTGGGCATTTTTGCTTACTTTTTGTTGTTCTAAATAGAGACGGATAGAAGGGCCATGGGTCATATTAGATTGTGTAGAAATTAAGGAAATGAGAACCCCCCAGATCCCCTGCCAAGTTATGTCCCCCCCACTTCTAAAACCAAAGTTGTGGCCCTGAAAAGTAGTATTACTTTTCATGAAAGTATCCTAATATATTTATTTATTTATTTCACATTTATTTAACCAGGTAAGCCAGTTGAGAACAAGTTCTCATTTACAACTGTGACCTGGCCAAGATAAAGCAAAGCAGTGCGATAAAAACAACAACAACACAGAGTTACATAAGGGATAAACAAAACCTACAGACAAAAACACAATAGAAAATCTATATACAGTGTGTGCAAATGTAGTAAGTTATGGAGGTAAGGCAATAAATAGGCCATAGTGCAAAATAATTACAATTTAGTATTATATCCTAATATTCTAATTCTAAATCGTAATTATCCAAAAAGTATATATTTAATTAATTGAAATTACTTGAAAATGTTGCATTAATTACCTTAAAGTAAAGCAATTGAAAACAACGTGTTTTATTTTGAATTAAAGTAGTTGAAAAACACGCTTAATTTCAAGTAAGCAGTTGAAAAATGTGTTTCGTTTCCAGTAAAGGAGATGCAAATGTATTTTCAATGTGGAAAAACAAGTCCAGCAGGATTTTATTTTATTTTATGCTTTTTAGGGCGGTTGGCAGACTGATTTCTGCCTAGTTACATGTGACCGTGTTAAGGCCATATTAATCATTCGCTACATTTGTGTGCGCCCATTTGGTGCGCATATAAATACGGATATGGACGCTGGTCTACTCCCATTCTTGGTCTTAGTACAAAGAAGAACTGCATTAATGTACACCAACGGTTGCTGGTACTACCAACCGTTGTAGTACATTAAACATGGTAGGCCAAATCCAGGTGATATGGTTGTGTCTCAGCGTGTCTACAGTATACTCAGGTGAGAGCATTTATATTGTTTGGTTAGGCTTAAAGCGGCTAAATAATTGCCTTAAATCAAATGCTGTTTTTGTAGTAAAATAACCACAATCCAACAACGCTATTTCTTATAGACTTGAATGTGGTACCGTTAATGTAGGTTGAGTTCCGAGATTATTGGCCAAACTGAGTGTCGGGCTCTGCAGCCAGGGAAGGGTTGATAATATAAACAAGAAAAACCTAATCGTAGTCTAACGTTATATGTCTTCTATCCCAAATAGAGGAAACAGATTTGACATTATTTATATTTTCTAGGAGGCTAAACAAATGAAGAGCATTCACAAAACAGGCCACTTTAGACTTCTAAGGCAAGCGCACTCATTGTTTAAAGAAATGTACCTTTTCTTGTAGCTAAATCTCTTAACACTAGGCTACAATCACCTGCCCTGGATATCTTACTAAATTACCGTGGCACAATATTACTCAATTTATAAGTCAATGAAACCATGTTTTAAATCTTCAGTATAGCCTATTGTGTCTTTCAACGTGATCTCTCGAAGTTACTTTCACTTACAACCTGCACCAGTACAGTTTACCTAGATATAAGTGATGATGAGTACAACTGGATTTTTCAACCAATCACGCGTGTCCAAAGTTGATCTCGTTCCCTTAAATTGTTTTGCTTCGATTGAGGTATCAAGTTTCAATTAGGATTGTTCATATTTCTACCATATTGGTAACGTATTGGATTCTCATGACATGCGCAGGTGAGTGATTTTTTTTTTCTCACTCAAGAGGTACATCAAATATAAATATTTAGTCTATTCCTTGATTTGAAAGCATGTGACCTATAATTAGTGTACCAAGGTACTGTATGTACAAAAGGCCCTACTGTCCAGTGGACATACCAATTCATTATATGTAATCATTGATTCTTGAAGAATACCATTCTTCATAAAGTTAATTACCGTCTTACCCCGATAGGCTATACCTGCATTTCAAGACTGTGGTCCATTGTTTCCATTTGTTTTTGTAAACCAACATACCAGATATCAAAGTAGGACTCAGTTGTCAAAAGGCTTACCATCTTCACTGTTATGCTGCTAGTGCTACCATGATTTTAATAGGTCATTATGCGAGTGTTTACATCCATTAAATTATACAACTTAATTGTACGTCTTCTGTCTGAATAGAGAAACAGATTTGGCATTATTTCTATTTTCTAGGAGGCAAAAAAACATGGAGCCTACACAAAACAGGCTACTTAAGACACATAAGTCAAGGACCAGTGGCGGCTCCTGAAAAAATTCTCAGGAGGGGCAATTTTTCTGATGATTTAGGTGACCTACACACATTTAAAAAAAAAGATATGTCCAGCAACAACATGAAGACAGGGGCAGCATATAAGTCAATACCAGAAGCATTTATTGACTGATCTCAAAAGTGTTGGCTTACCAGGGTTGGTGGAGCCCTCAGTTTCATCTTTGCCTCGCAAAGCTAACTCAAACACTCCGCAAAACTTCACACACTGGATTAGCCGGCTGAGGATGTGGCGGTTCTTGCTAATGTCGTAGTAAATATATTTGTTATAGTGAATATGGAATATGATATGTTGAGTAAAATGTTGTGCTAAGATCTATTTAGGTCAGGAGCTGGTTATAAGTTCTGTTCCTATCCAATAACAATGGACAAAAGGGTCCTATCTTGTCAGCCTTGTCAGCAGGTGGCCAAGGACAACACCCACGCCATAGGCCTCTCAGTTCTTCCAACTCACGAGTTCTTGCTCTGAGGACACACACACACACAAACACACACACACACACATCATCACTGTTAAACACACACACACACACACATCATCACTGTTAAACACACACACACACACACACAAAAATCCCCTCTCTTAGGCTGAACATTTGAAGACAGAGAACCCGACTCAGAGCCAATGCAACAGTGACAGTAGCCTGGAGGTGACCTCGCCCAACTCATCAGGTCCAATCAGAAGATCAGAACTACTAGATTGAACCTACTTCATTTATTGCATAAAATGTCTGCACACAATGTTTCGGGGCTCTCTTCAGATAATAATAATAATAATAATATGCCATTTAGCAGACGCTTTTATCCAAAGCGACTTACAGTCATGCGTGCATACATTTTTGTGTATGGGTGGTCCCGGGGATCGAACCCACTACCTTGGCGTTACAAGCACCATGCTCTACCAGCTGAGCTACAGAAAGTGGATACTCATGGATGCGCATTGCAATTGTAAAATGTCAACACAATTGGAGACACCACGTCATTTTTGGAGACATGTTATTGACAGTAAACTATTGTAGATGCGACTGCTAACTAAATAAAACATTTTAGCTGGCTAGCTAATCATCTTAGCTAAATGTGGGGCAAACAATTCAGTTATTTACCGTTAATTTGAGGGATTGGGGTGAAAGAAATTGAGTTACATAGTGATACTTTACGATATACTGTATTGACAATATCGCAATATTTTAGCGCTAGTTGGCTGTACCTGCACCAAAACACCATTATTGTTCCTTCATAGCTTGTTCTCAATCTTTTCACATTGGGAGCCAATTAGTTTTCAGCACTTTTATTTCCATGACTGATCAAAACTCGTTCTCATGGCTTTCTGATCCCTCTGCAACAGACATATGGTGCGCAATAAAATCACAGTATCGAATCGCAATACGTATAGAATCATGAGACTCGCAATGCTGATGCATATATCTTATCGTGAGGTTCCTGGCAATTCCCAGCCCAAGTTCATTTGCCACAACAAATCTCTTCGCTAGCAAACGCGATGTCTTCTCCAAAACGGCAATGTGTCTCCAGCAATGTTTACTTTTTTGACGTTCTATGGCATCTCCACTTTCCAAGCATATATGACCACATGTAATATTTTGGTAAGTGATGCAAATAGTGAACTATGTAGGGCCAGGATGTAAAATATATGTAGCTGCAGCAATTTCTCTTATCTGATATGGTAAGTAATGGGGCTTAATTTATAACTCCCTAAGAGTTTGACGAACGGGTCCGTGAACGCGATTCCAGATATATTTACCTCTGAATAAACTGCCTTTATTACACCATATCCACATCCAGTAAACTTGTGATTATCAACACTAACCTCATCGTTGTGGCGGCGGACAGCTAGCCTGTATCCCTCGTCATCCAGTTGAGTGAGTGGCAATGTCTTTTTTCGTTCGTACCAATTTTTGGAAAATCCTCGGGTGTAGGACTTTCCGCCTTTAGTAGAAACCTGTTGAATTATTAAATTTGGTCTGGGAGGTCCTAATTGTTTCGTTGCCAATTTATCTTCATTTGTTCGCCGACAAAAAGGAACTTCTTTCAAAGACACAATCGAGTTGGACTGAAGCCTAGCCATTTTGATAGTAGTAGTGAATTGATTGAGGCTGCTACCTGGTCTTTTCTTAGTTACGTTCATTCGTGGTTACGTTATGTATGACGAAAGCGCGTAAGTGCAAGCCCACAGACACCCATAGAGAATGTATTGAAAGCTTTGAAATGTGAAACAAATAGATTTTACATGACAGGCTATGAGAGACTTCTGGGCGATTTTCAACCTGACTGAAATCGCCCAAAAAACGGGCGGGGCCATTTGAAGCACGACTTTAGCCTGATTTGACATTTAGTGGCTGGCAGATCAGACGTGAACACTGATAACTGCTGTTGCCGTGATATAATTTTTTATAAATTTATATATATTTTTTATTATTTTTTTTTATTATTTTTTTTATAATTGATTAGAAAAAAAATCCCTTCCTTTTCCCGTTTGGCAGTGCGTCGCCCATATCGCCCTATTGAACAAGCCGTCCCTGTCAAGGACACACATTGTGTAAAGAAATGTAAGAAATGTGATTGTTTTGCATCGACGTATCAAGTTACTGCTAGGACTAGGCTATTTCTGATAGTTTCAAAATACGGTTGTTCATATTTTTACATGGTTGGTATTCCCATCACATGCGCAGGTGAGTATTTTTGTTCCCACGAAGGGTACATAACATATTGAAATAAACAGCTACATATTGAAATGTATAGCCTACCTCATGATTTGAAAGAATTAGACCTATAAATAGGTATGTGCAATAGGCCTAGACCAACAGTCTAATAGACATTTATATTAATTAACTATATTTAATCATTGATTCTTGAACACATGCCTCATAAGTACAACGGCCTTACCCCATTAGACTGTACCTCAAATATAAGCCCTGGACAAACACACCTGATTCAACTGGTCAACTAATCATCAAGCCCTCAATGAGTTGAATGAGGTGCGTTTGTCCAGGGCTACAACGACAATGTATACTGTTGGGGGGTACTGGAGGACCAGGGTTGGGAAACACTGACCTAAAATAGGCTGTGCTCCATTGTTTTTGTAAACACACAATGTTACAAGGTCAAGTTTTAGTTGTCACTTGCACCAGCACAATGAAATGCTTGACTTTCTTGCCCTACCCAACAATGGCGTATTCAATATCAAAAAGTAGAACCAATAACAACATAACATCTCTAGACATACTCAATAAAAGAGGAAGCTACAGTAAATGCCAGTATCACATTTACAATGTGCAGGGATACTGAGGTAAATATGTACATGTAGGCAGGGATTATTAATAACAATAATACTACTAATAAACAGTATGGCAGAAGTGGTGTAACTGTGTGTAAGAATGTCAGTGAACGTATGTATACCTGATATCAATGGCCCAGGTTTTAACAGTTCAACTGGTAGGTCATAAATGGCCTGTTCACTGTTATGCCACTAGTAATACCATTATTATTATTCTGTTATACCACTAGTGCTACCATGATTATTATTCTGTTATACCACTAGTGCTACCATGATTATTATACTGTTATACCACTAGTGCTACCATGATTATTATTCTGTTATACCACTAGTGCTACCATGATTATTATTCTGTTATACCACTAGTGCTACCATGATTATTATACTGTTATACCACTAGTGCTACCATGATTATTATTCTGTTATACCACTAGTGCTACCATGATTATTATTCTGTTATACCACTAGTGCTACCATGATTATTATACTGTTATGCCACTAGTGCTACCATGATTATTATTCTGTTATACCACTAGTGCTACCATGATTATTATACTGTTATACTACTAGTGCTACCATGATTATTATTCTGTTATACCACTAGTGCTACCATGATTATTATTCTGTTATGCCACTAGTGCTACCATGATTATTATTCTGTTATACCACTAGTGCTACCATGATTATTATACTGTTATACCACTAGTGCTACCATGATTATTATACTGTTATGCCACTAGTGCTACCATGATTATTATTCTGTTATACCACTAGTGCTACCATGATTATTATACTGTTATGCCACTAGTGCTACCATGATTATTATACTGTTATACCACTAGTGCTACCATGATTATTATTCTGTTATACCACTAGTGCTACCATGATTATTATTCTGTTATACCACTAGTGCTACCATGATTATTATTCTGTTATGCCACTAGTGCTACCATGATTATTATTCTGTTATACCACTAGTGCTACCATGATTATTATTATGTTATACCACTAGTGCTACCATGATTATTATACTGTTATACCACTAGTGCTACCATGATTATTATACTGTTATACCACTAGTGCTACCATGATTATTATTCTGTTATACCACTAGTGCTACCATGATTATTATTATGTTATACCACTAGTGCTACCATGATTATTATACTGTTATACCACTAGTGCTACCATGAGTATTATACTGTTATACCACTAGTGATACCATGAGTATTATACTGTTATACCACTAGTGATACCATGATTATTATACTGTTATACCACTAGTGATACCATGATTATTATACTGTTATACCACTAGTGCTACCATGATTATTATACTGTTATACCACTAGTGCTACCATGATTATTATTCTGTTATACCACTAGTGCTACCATGATTATTATACTGTTATACCACTAGTGCTACCATGATTATTATTCTGTTATGCCACTAGTGCTACCATGATTATTATTCTGTTATACCACTAGTGCTACCATGATTATTATACTGTTATACCACTAGTGCTACCATGATTATTATACTGTTATGCCACTAGTGCTACCATGATTATTATTCTGTTATACCACTAGTGCTACCATGATTATTATTCTGTTATACCACTAGTGCTACCATGATTATTATACTGTTATACCACTAGTGCTACCATGATTATTATTCTGTTATGCCACTAGTGCTACCATGATTATCATTCTGTTATCCCACTAGTGCTACCATGATTATTATACTGTTATACCACTAGTGCTACCATGATTATTATACTGTTATACCACTAGTGCTACCATGATTATTATTATGTTATGCCACTAGTGCTACCATGATTATTATTATGTTATGCCACTAGTGCTACCATGATTATTATTATGTTATGCCACTGGTGCTACCATGATTATTATTATGTTATACCACTAGTGCTACCATGATTATTATTCTGTTATGCCACTAGTGCTACCATGATTATTATACTGTTATACCACTAGTGCTACCATGATTATTATTCTGTTATGCCACTAGTGCTACCATGATAATTATACTGTTATACCACTAGTGCTACCATGATTTCAATAAGTAATTGTGTGTGTTTATGTAACAGGATTGCTTCTGTTTCCATCCATTAATTTATACCTGTGCTTGTGATTTTTTTTCTAGCTACCCATTACCTGAAATATTTCTACACAGCGCTCCCACAATCTACTGGCCTTCCAGAGTTCAGCGCTGTTGCTTATTTGGATGAGCAACCAATTTATTTCTATGACAGCTCTACAAAGCAAGTGGTAGCTCGACAGGAGTGGGTAAAAGGAGCTGTGGATGCAGACTTCTGGAGAAGAAATACAAAACTTCTTATGGACACTGAGAAGGTGTTCAAAACCAACATGGACACTGCAAGAGAACGCTTCAACCAGACAAGTTAGTAGGCCATCATCAGAACATGTTTTGATAGATAGCTAACAGTAAACACTCATTGAACACTGAAGGATCAATGTTATTATGTTGGTTTCCCTTTAGGTGCCCTTGCATTGCAGAAAATGTATAGCTGTGAGTGGAATAATGAAACTAATGCTACAGATGGACATGAACTGTATGGATATGGAGGAGAGGACTACCTGAAATTTGATCTGGAGCGAGAAAGATGGATTGCACCTGTTCTGCCGGGATTTATGACCAAATTGAAGTGGGATGCTGATGGTCCTAAGCTTAAAGCCAAAACTCACTATCTAACCCATACCTGTATTGGATGTCTGAAGAAATATGTTTCTTATCAAAGCATGCTGGATAGGAAAGGTATTATTAAGACTTAATTCGTTTTTTGCACAATTTGAGTGGGTTTACTATTTCTATGTCTTGGAATTTCTAATGACGTGTACATACTGTTAGATTATTGAAACATGCAGTCAGTGTTGTTGACTTGTCCAGTAGCCATCATCTGTGGAATAGGGTACAGCCAGATGCTGTCATCTGAATAACAAAATACACTCTGTAGAGGTGTATATATTTGATCAATATCCTGATGTTTGTATATTTGATCAATATCCTGATGTTTGTATATTTGATCAATATCCTGATGTTTGTATATTTGATCAATATCCTGATGTTTGTATATTTGATCAATATCCTGATGTTTGTATATTTGCTTTCCACAGTCCCACCACAGGTATCTTTGCTTCAGAAAGAACCCTCCGATCGTGTGACCTGCCATGCAACAGGCTTCTATCCAGACGCTACCATGATATTTTGGAGAAGAGATGGAGTAGAGATCCATGATGATGTGGAGCATGAAGAGACCCTGCCTAACGGGGATGGGACGTATCAGAAGAGAACCCATCTCACTGTGTCCCCTGAAGACCTACAGAAGCACAACTACACATGCACTGTCCAACACGTTAGCAGACAGAACCACATCACCGCTAACAGGGACAGCATTCGCAGCAACAGCAGGAAATGCAACAGCAGCAATACTCAAAGTTAGTAGTTCTCCTATTATCCAAATCAGTTCTCAAGGATCCTGGGAATACAGGTTTTTGTTTCTACATGTTACATCTAAATGTTATGTTCTAGACTTTTCTATGTTATTCATCAATTAGCAAACCAGTTGTATACGACAGCCTCTTTTCAAACGTGCATTCTTAGGGGCTGCTGTGAAGTGATGTTGTGACCCTCTGAACCCTAGAGTCTGATGCGTTTTAATCACGATTTAACACAACTTGATTAATTATCTAATCGATGTCTTCCTTATAGTGTGATGTTAGTCTTGAAATCAAATGTATTCACATTGAGCAATTCTTCTTTGATCTCAGGGCAACACATCTCCATCATCATTGTCTCATTGGTCATCCTTGTTGGTATGTCAAGCCCTCTTCACCGCTATAGACACCAGCAGACACACAAATGTGGCAACAACTAAAACATCCAGTGCATCAGTACATTTTAATGTCAATAACACACAACACCATAGTGTTAGATGTATTTAGTTTAGTCATTGAAATGATTGAAACAGATTGATACGATTTAGATTACCGATGATGAGGAAAAAACTAACTGCCACATCTTTTTCTCCTATTATCCAAGTGGTTTTCGTAATGATACATAAGTTCAGCAACGGAAGAGGTAAGTTCCCACCTATTCTTTTAACCGCTATATATCCCTGTTGATAATACTGCAAAATGAGGGGTTTCAAACTACTGTACTCAATGAGAGGTTTCTAACTACTGTACTCAATGAGGGGTTTCTAACTACTGTACTCAATGAGAGGTTTCTAACTACTGTACTCAATGAGAGGTTTCTAACTACTGTACTCAATGAGAGGTTTCTAACTACTGTACTCAATGAGGGGTTTCTAACTACTGTACTCAATGAGGGGTTTCTAACTACTGTACTCAATGAGGGGTTTCAAACTACTGTACTCAATGAGAGGTTTCTAAATACTGTACTCAATGAGGGGTTTCTAACTACTGTACTCAATGAGGGGTTTCTAACTACTGTACTCAATGAGGGGTTTCAAACTACTGTACTCAATGAGGGGTTTCTAAATACTGTACTCAATTGCTGCAGTGTCTACTAAACAATACAGTGATCATTATATTTTATTTAACAAATATTCTTACATTTAACTCTTTGTTTATTGGACTAACATTCATTTTCATTATTACACAGGGAAAGGTTAGTCAGTTTTCTAATTCTGAAGGCTGTTATAACATTAATCTTTCTACTGCCTTTCTAGAACAAACGTCTGAAAAGGAAAAACAATGTGCAAGTGAGTACTGAACTGTGTTGCGCTGTACGCAATAGAGGAGTGAATCCTTTACGAAGGATTTTATATCAATCAGTAACCTGAAAAGGTGAGGTGGAAGTTATTGTGAAATGTTCATTTTTTCCGATTCTCAGCAAGTCCCCTGGAGAAGGGTGTTCCTCTGCTCAACGATGGTGAGTTCAGATTTCTCTTTTACTAAAACTTCATGGTAAGACAGAAGTTATTTTATGTTTAAATCTCAGTGGACTCAAGTATGACCCTTCGGCAGTAAAGAATTTCAGTCTGGCAGTTGTTTCCCTTTTCATTAAGAGTATAACTTGAGGAGTTGAACGTTAAAGACCTTTGCAAAAATTATGTAAATATTCCGTCAAGGCATTTCCTCCATTACTGATTGAAATAAAACATTTAAAAAAACATGTATTTCCCCCTAGCAAAACCTGCCACGTGGAGAGTTATTGTCAGTGATAATACATTTTTATATTGATAAGTGACCCCACTCGTATGTTTTCAATCTACTTTGCGTACTTGAAACCTGGGATATTGAAGCAGAGATGTATCAAATCCAGACTCAGCAATATGACATCACCATACACTGTTGGGAGCATAGATATATGGTCTGTGGTGGAGAGACTTCATACGTCACCCAACTGCTCTGGTGATGTTGTATCGCTAAGTCTTCCATTAATGCGTTCATGTTTAAATGTCCCCGGTATCAGTAAGGAAAGTAGAAACTGATGTGATTTTCACAGTTTAATGTTAAAATAAGAAATATGCTGCTTTTCAGTGAGTCAACCAGCTGATGCTCTCCAGTGCACGACTCAAGAGACCACTTTAAGAAGTTTAATTCCTGTATTTGTATAGCTTCATAGTCGGGGTTGAAAACGGGTTCTTCAATGAACAATCTGAAACCAGTCTATGAATGCAAATTCATCTAAATGTCACTTTAAATTCACCGATGACTTGATGCAAGGTATTTTTGTGGACCTGAAGACACTGTCAAGTTTTGAGTTTATTGATCATCCAGACCTCTTACATGTTCTTAAAAACGAACCTCTACATGGTGGCCTCTCCTCCCCCAGAAATAACTTTCAGTTTGTTGTTTGTTTATCCACACATCACAAGTACAAAGAAGGTGAAGCGTAATTGTGGAGGGTGACAGAGAGAAAAAACGTAGCTTGTGGGAGGGATCTTACTCACATTTACATGCACACAACACTGTGATTATTGTCAATAGATTATGGTCATATACAGGATATGCTGTTTACATGCAATGAAAAAGATTATTCCACTAATATTTTAGTGCGGCTCTGCCGACTCTGGCGGCTCTGGCGGCTCTGCCGACTCATTTACAGTGAGGGAAAAAAGTATTTGATCCCCTGCTGATTTTGTATGTTTGCCCACTGACAAAGAAATGATCGGTCTATAATTTTAATGGTAGGTTTATTTGAACAGCGAGAGACAGAATAACAACAAAAAAATCCAGAAAAACACGTCAAAAATGTTATAAATTGATTTGCATTTTAATGAGGGAAATAAGTATTTGAAACCTCTGCAAAACATGACTTAGTACTTGGTGGCAAAACCTCTGTTGGCAATCACAGAGGTCAGACGTTTCTTGTAGTTGGCCACCAGGTTTGCACACATCTCAGGAGGGATTTTGTTCCACTCCTCTTTGCAGATCTTCTCCAAGTCATTAAGGTTTCGAGGCTGACGTTTGGCAACTCGAACCTTCAGCTCCCTACACAGATTTTCTATGGGATTAAGGTCTGGAGACTGGCTAGGCCACTCCAGGACCTAAATGTGCTTCTTCTTGAGCCACTCCTTTGTTGCCTTGGCCGTGTTTTATGGGTCATTGTCATGCTGGAATACAAATCCATGACCCATTTTCAATGCCCTGGTTGAGGGAAGGAGGATTGCACCCAAGATTTGACGGTACATGGGCCCCGTCCATCGTCCCTTTGATGCTGTGAAGTTGTCCTGTCCCCTTAGCAGAAAAACACCCCCAAAGCATAATGTTTCCACCTCCATGTTTGATGGTGGGGATGGTGTTCTTGGGGTCATAGGCAGCATTCCTCCTCCTCCAAACACGGCGAGTTGAGTTGATGCCAAAGAGCTCCATTTTGGTCTCATCTGACCACAACACTTTCACCCAGTTCTCCTCTGAATCATTCAGATGTTCATTGGCAAATTTCAGACGGCCCTGTATATGTGCTTTCTTGAGCAGGGGGACCTTGCGGGCGCTGCAGGATTTCAGTCCTTCACGGCGTAGTGTGTTACCAATTGTTTTCTTGGTGACTATGGTCCATCTGTCTTGAGATCATTGACATGATCCTCCTGTGTAGTTCTGGGCTGATTTCTCACCGTTCTCATGATCATTGCAACTCCACGAGGTGAGATCTTGCATGGAGCCACAGGCCGAGGGAGACTGACAGTTCTTTTGTGTTTCTTTCATTTGCGAATAATCGCACCAACTGTTGTCACCTTCTCACCAAGCTGCTTGGCGATGGTCTTGTAGCCCATTCCAGCCTTGTGTAGGTCTACAATCTTGTCCCTGACATCCTTGGAGAGCTCTTTAGTCTTGGCCATGGTGGAGAGTTTGGAATCTGATTGATTGATTGCTTCTGTGGACAGGTGACTTTTATACAGGTAACAAGCTGAGATTAGGAGCACTCCCTTTAAGAGTGTGCTCCTAATCTCAGCTCGTTACCTGTATAAAAGATACCTGGGAGGCAGAAATCTTTCTGATTGAGAGGGGGTCAAATACTTATTTCCCTCATTAAAATGCAAATAAATTTATAACATTTTTGACATGTGTTTTTTCTGGATTTTGTTGTTGTTATTCTGTCTCTCACTGTTCAAATAAACCTACCATTAAAATTATAGACTGATAATTTCTCTGTCAGTGGGCAAACGTACAAAATCAGCAGGGGATCAAATACTTTTTTCCCTCACTGTACATTGACATTTTAGTCATTTAGCAGACGCTCTTATCCAGAGTGAATACATATTTTTTATCTTTTTTTTTCATTTTTTTTTTTTTCATACTGGTCCCCCATGGGAATCGAACCCACAACCCTGGCGTTGCAAACGCCATGCTCTATCAACTGAGCTACATCCCTGCCGGCCATTCCCTCCCCTACCCTGGACGACGCTGGGCCAATTGTGCGCTGCCCATGAGTCTCCCGGTCGCGGCCAGCTGCGACAGAGCCTGGATTCGAACCAGGATCTCTAGTGGCACAGCTAGCACTGCGATGCAGTGCCTTAGACCACTGCGACTCTACGTAAGTATCCATTATGTTGCGATCCTTGTATTGTATAATACCAGCATGTAAAGTAAATGTAAATGAATCCTGTGTGACAGATGAACTTGTGCATTGATTTTGTACATGGAGATAACTGTCTAAGTGCTGTGCTTTGTTCTCTAATTACTAATTATTATTTTTTTGATCTTTGCTTTCCCCTAGAAAGCCTCTTATCAAGAAATAATATTAAAAAGGATGGAAAACAAGTAAGTTGGAATCTGCTTAACATCTCATTTGCTGTATGTTCTTGAATAGTTTTGATATTCTTTAATGACATGAATCTGCATTAATAACATACATCTGCTAATAGTGCTGATAGTATGTTCTCTTTCCTATGTTTTTGTCTAGGCCAACTGCAGTTGGAGTGTCTTCTTTCGTGATCTTGGAGACCTCAATTATCCGTGGAGTTGCAAACTATCAGAGGGTTTGAAATTTGTGAATTCAGTATATTGGCTACCATCCAAAGCTCTCAAAGTAAAAAATAAATAAATTGGTCATTTAGCAGACGCTCTTATCCAGAGCGACTTACAGGAGCAATTAGGGTTAAGTGCCTTGCTCAAGGGCACATCGACAGGTTTTTCACCTAGTCAGCTCGGGGATTAGAACCAGCGACCTTTCGGTTACTGGCACAACGCTCTTAACCACTAAGCTACCTGCCGCCCCGTACTAATGTACGCACAAAAAAGACAACTTCCTGATATTAGGGCTGGCACAATTGTCATATAGTCGTGTAACCGACAATTAAATCAAATCAAATCAAATTTTATTTGCCACATGCGCCGAATACAA